CAGTTCCTATCTTTCAGGGTAGTGCTCCCTCCCCCATGACTGTCCCTCCTGCCTCCGCCTCCGTAGCCGAGACTAGAGCGGTTGCCACTGCCGCAGCCGCTCCTCTGGCGGCAAGGGCAAGGGAAAGGGGGGCAAGGGTCATGGAGGATCGGCAGCAGTGGTCGGAGGGGGTGCGGGTATGGATGGTTGGGTGGTTAGTCAGAGTCGGGGACTGAGAAGCAACACTAGTAGTAGCAGCAGCAGCTGCTGCTGCTGCAACTGTCGTGGGGGCTGGCGGGCCCTGGGGGTGATGGTCGTGGTGGGGGCCATAGGGGTTGGGGTCCAGGGCAGCAGGTGCCCTGGGGGTCGCGTGGCTCTTCTATGAGTCGGGGTACTCGTGGCTTCGGAGGTGCAGTGACCTGGTAGTCATCGTTGACGACTTCTCGCGCTTCACCACAATGTTCCTGTTGGTGCGGAAGGCCGACGTGCCTACCCTTCTACTCCCATGGCTTCTTACTGTTCACACCCACCACCGTCTATCTGTGGGTCACTTACACTATGATCGAGGTGGCGAGTTCGCCTCTTGCACTCTAGGACACTTTTGTCGTGCGGAGGGCATCCGCCAGACATACACACTGCCGGACTCCCCACAGCAAAATGGGGTCGCTGAGTGACGCATCAGCTTGATCATGGAGGTAGCTCACACCTCCATGGTCTACGCCAGTGCACCCCATTTTCTGTGGCCGTTCGCCGTGCACTACGCTGCTCACCAGCTTAACCTGTGGCTGCGCTCCCAGCAGCCACAGGTTTTGCCGACCCTCCTCTAGACCGGGTCTCCTGGTGACGCGTGTGCATTCCACGTGTGGGGCAGCCTTGCTCACGTCCGCGACACTCGCGCAGACAATCTCTCAGCCCGCACCCATCCTTGTGTTTTCCTAAGGATTCCGCTTGACGCCTCTGACTGGGTGTTCTACCACCCGTCAAACCGCCATTTTGTACCACTTTTGTAACATTACCTTCAACGAGACGCTCCACTCCTACCTGTGCTTCCCGCACCGCAGCACCCCTATGCCTCCTCCTCCTCTCTTCCTCGTCCCTGCCGCACCCCTCCCGCCCCGCTCGGCCAAGTCTGGTGTCTTCCACGCCACTCGGTTCCCCTTGCTTGCGCCAGTGGGGGAGTTAGCTGACTTTGGGGGCCCAGTTGCTAGGGGTGCGCCTACTGTCCCAGTGGCACCTCCCCCAACCTCGGTACCCTAGTCACCTCAGCCGACTCCCCCCTTACCGCAGCAGCAGGAGAAGCCGCCATAAAAGACTCAGCTAACGCAGCAGCAGGAAGCAATGGGCTCTGGGGGTGTTGGTTCTGGGAGTGCTGGTGTTGGGGGTGTTGGTTCTGGGGGTGCAAGTTCCGGGGGTACTGACTCTGAGGCAGCTGGTTCTGAGGGTGCGTTTTCTAGGGGTGCTGACTCAGGGGGTGCTGGTTTTGTGAGTGGTGCGTCCGAGGGTGCTAGTCCATAGGGTGCTGTTTCGGTGAGGGCCAATGGTAGCCGAGGTGCCACTGGAGGTCAAACAGTTAGCAGCTATAGCCGCAGCAGCAAGAGCAGCCACAGCAGCAACCGTAGTCTGCCCTTTGTCTCCTTGGTCTTGCTCCAGGTTCCCCTGTCTGCCCGCCCGTCCCCCCTCCCGTGTGTAACCTTGTTTACGGCCTGCTGTTCCCTCCTCCGGACTCCTCTCCGGCTTGTTTTCACCTGCTCTCCCCTCGGTCCCCTGACTTGTCCCCCGTTACCCCTCAACCTTATTCCCCGGTTCTTCCCCACTGATTCCGTCGCCCCTTTGGTGCTCGTCTTGTCCCTCCACGTTGTAGTGTCCACCCTATCTTCCTCCGTTCTTGTGCTTCTTCGATCCCCGTGCTTCTGTTACCTCCTCCGTCGTCGCTCCCGCAGTCTCCTCCTCCTTGCTCTCACACTGCTCACATTGCTCGTCCTACGCTCTCCCGCTTGTTTGCATCGGATGTCACTAACCGTACCCCTCCTCCTAAGACCGTCTCTGCGCTTGTCGCTGCTGTCGCTTACTTTGCTGCTAGCCACTGCCTTGACTACGCTGCTGCTCTGGTCTCTAGTATTTCTCGTCCTCTGTCCGTCAAGGGTGCACCTGCCCTAGGCAGTGACATGCTAAAGGATAGGCTGTACGAGTTGGCCTTCCTTGCTGCCACTGTTCCCCATCTTTGCTCCATGCTTGTATCCCTAGGGGGTGAACCAGACGCGCTCGAAATTCCCGTTCCGTGCACTTACGCTGAGGCAGAGTGAGGGCCCTAGGCAGCCCAGTGGATACAGGCCATGGAGGCTGAGATGACATCCTACAAATCCATACGCATTTACTGTACGTCGACGCAGTTCCCCTGCCTGGGGTGAACGCAGTCGATGGCATGTGGATCTACAGGGTGAAGCCCGCACCTGGAGAGCCGCCGAAGTTCAAGGCGCGTTACGTGGCTAGAGGCTTCAGCCAGCGTGAGGGTGTGGACTTCTTCAAGACCTTCTCCCCAACCCCGAAGATGACTACACTTCGGGTCCTTCTTCACATAGCCACGCAGCGTGACTACGAGCTTCACTCACTCGACTTCTCCACAGTGTTCCTGCAGGGTAATCTGCACAAGCAGATCTACCTTCGGCGCCCTCTGGCTCCTTCCCACCTGGGACCGAATGGAGCCTGCATTGTCCTATCTACGGCTTTCGTTAGGCACCCCGTGAGTGGCAGGACACGCTTCGCACCACTCTTGCTGAGCCTCAATTCTTTCCGTCCTCTGCCGATCCCTCTCTCTTTGTTCGCACAGGTCAGACATCATTCTACATTCTAGTGTACGCAGACGATCTTATCTTTACTGCTCCAGACAGAGTCACACTAGCCTCAGTGAAGGCCGAGTTACTTAGGAGACAATCTTGTACAGACTTGGGGGAGCTGAGGTGCTATCTGGGCTTGGAGATCTCTTGTGACCGTGTCGCTCGCACGATCACACTCTCCCAGTCCCATATGGTGCAGCAGATCCTCCAGAGGTTGCACGATCACACTCTCCCAGTCCCATATGGTGCAGCAGATCCTCCAGAGGTTAAGTCACCAATCCTCCTTAGCACAGCCCACCCCTTTGCCTGTGGATCTCAAGCTCTTTGCTCCTGTTCCGGCTGATCCGGTCAAGGCTAGTGGTCCATACGCAGAGCTGGTGGGTGCCTCATGTACCTGATGACCTGCACTCGACCAGATCTAGCGTACCCTCTCAGTCTCCAAGCTCGCTTTGTTGCGACAGGCAGGCAGGCACCGACCAGTCCATTGGTCGGCTGCCAAGATGTTACGGCAGTATCTGGTGAGTACAGTAGGACTGGGGTTTGTGCTAGGAGGACAGGAGCCAGTGGTGCTCACTAGACACACAGACGCGTCGTGGGCTGACGATGTGGAGACGCTCAGGTCGTCTCAGGGCTACTATTTTTGTCTTGGTGCTGGTGCACTCTCGTGGAGGTCCACCAGGTCGTCGTCTGTAGCTCAGTCCCGTTGTGAGGCAGAGATCTACGCTGGGGCCATGGCCGCTAAGGAGCTAGGTGAGCAGCCTAGGTCTGCCCCGGTCCTGTTTGCTGACAACAGGGCCATGATCCTCCTGTGTCATTAGGCTCGACTTGAGGATAGGGCGAAGCACATCCAGCTGCGGTACTTTCTGCTGCGTGAGTTGTAGCAGCGCGGTCAGGCTCGTGTAGTGCAGTTGGTCTCAAAGGCCAACACTTCTGTTATCTTCTTGGTCTAGTATCAGTAGTGGCTCCGCTCTTTCTATCCGAATCCATGCTAAACTGGCTTGTACTTGCTGTTCTATACCTGCTTGTCTTGCTACACTTGCTGATTGGCCTTGTGGCATTGTCTCAGTGGTCCGACTAGTACCGTAATGCTGCCCTGAGTTGCCTTGTTGCCTCGGTGAAGATATCAGCAGTGTTGGCCTCTGATGCCAACTGTACTACACGAGCCTGACCGCACTGTTGCAACTCATGCAGCAGGAAGTACCGCTGGTGTATGTGCATGGCCTTGCCCTCAAGTCGAGCCTCCTGACCCAGGAGCATCGTGGCCCCGTTGTCAGCAAACAGAACCGGGGCAGACCTTGGCTGCTTTAACAAGATAGTGGGAATGAGGAGTAGTAGAGGAGATACAGGGTTCAAGTATGAGATTCTCCCCTCTACAGTGTGCACCTAGCATGTCTATAGCAGGGCCTATTTTATCAGAGTAATTTACTCTGTTTCTCTGAAAATCTACTCTAGGGGCCCTGAGTAAAAAAATAAATTATTTGTTTTACTCTGATTTTATCCAAGTAAACCTTTGTACCACTCTGATGGTCCGTGTATAGGGGGTACCGTATATATGTGATTATGTTCCTGTCCCCTATACCTAGCTGTGCCCATGTGTCCCGCAGAACGCGTCATGTCACACGCACCGGCGAAATCATTGTCTGGTCCGTGCTCGAGGTTGTGTGAGGGTGCTACGGTAAGTTTCCCTTGACCAAAATCACCTCGCCAATTGTGCTGGAAGGTGCATGAGGGCGCTGATTGGCCCTTCCTAGGGGTCAGGCGAGATGCGCTGTTGGCTGTGTGAGGTCGTGTTGGTTGGGCCCTTCACCGTATTTGGGGCCAACGTGTGCTTGCAGGGGGAGTGCAAGATTTCCCGTCCCCGCCCCTGCTGTGTCGACCTCTCCTGCCAGCTCGATTCCCCCTGCCCCTGCAATCTCGATTCCCCCTGCCCATACAATCTCTCGATACTTCCCCTTTGTTCCACCCCCCATCTCCCAATCTTGCCCCGCACACCTAGAGAACCCTGCTGCGGAGAGTTACTTCAAAAACCCCTCTGCATTGTCAGTGTAAATTTTTGAGAAATATAAAAAACCCTGGAAAATCAGAGAAATCATTGGGGAGCACTCTGATTTTCAGAGTGATGAAAAAAGCCACTCCCTAATTTCAGAGTAGTAAAAATCCAAAAGTAGGCCCTGGTCTATAGCACATATGAAAATTATATGTACGCTAACACACCCCCTAGACTGGGTAGGGGCAGAGTCTTGCAAGGCACAGCAATCCAGGGCAGCACTACTAGTCTGGCCTCTTGAGTAGGGGACAGACAGCTCAGGGCAGCACTACTAGTGTGGACACAGAGACAAGGGCCAGAATGCCAGTCAGCAAGAGTAACAAGAAAATTGGTGAAGTTCAGACGCCGAGCGTCCTGAGGCCGAGCACCCTAAGGCCGAGCACCCTAAGGCCGAGCACCCTAAGGTCGAGCACGCTCAGAATTACCACCCCCAGGGGGAGCATTCCCAGAACCACCACCCCCAGGGCCCACGAACCCCCTCCCCCCCCCCCCCCCCCCTTGCTGCTGCTGCTTCTTCTGCTGCGGCTGCTATGGGGTGGGCTGCGTAGGTGCATGGGGCACCAGGGCTGGAGGGAGGGGGGGCTGGAGTGGCGGTGGCTGGAGTGGAGGTAGCTGCTGCTGTAGCGGCGGCTGGAGTGGTTGGAGTGACAGCGGCGGCTGTAGTGGCGGCGACGGCTGGAGCAGCGGCTGGTGAAGCGGCAGTAGCAGCGGCAGCTGGAGCGGCGGCCGGAGTGGTGACGGCTGGAGCGGTGGCAGTGGCTCGAGGAGGAGGAGTGGCGGCTGTAGCGGCGGCCGGAGTGACGGTGGCCGGAGTGGCGGCATTGGTCCGAGGAGGAGGAGCGGCGGCTGGAGTGGCAGCGGTTGGAGCGGCGGCTGGAGTGGCGGCAGAAGTAGGAGGAGGAGCAGAGGCGGCTTGAGAGGCGGCCGGAGCAGCAGCGGCAGGAGCGGCGGCAGGAGACCGAGGAGGAGCAGAGGTGGCTGTAGCAGCGGCCCGAGTGGCAGCGGTTGGAGCGGCTGCTGCTGCAGCTGCGGCGGCGGCTGTCGTAGCGGCGGCGACGATGGTGGCGGCTGTAGCAGGGGCGGTGGCTGCTGGAGAAGCGGTAGTGGTAGAGGCAGCGGTGGCGACGGCTATAGTAGCAGTAGTGGCGCCTGCAGCTGCCACAGCGCAGTGGCATCAGGGGCAACAGCATCGGTGGCAGTGGCAGCGGCAGCGGCAGCTGAGGCAGCGGCGGCGGCAGTGGCAGCAGTGGCAGCAGGGGCAGTGGCAGCTGTAGTGGCAGCGGCGGCGGCAGTAGCAGCAGTGGCAGATGCAGCGTCAGTGGCAGCAGTGGCGGCAGCAGCGGCTGCAGGGGCAGCGGCGGCGTCAGTGGCAACGGGGGCAGCGACGACAGTGGCGGCAGCAGAAGGGGCAGTGGCGGCGTCAGCGGCATGAGCGGCAGCAGCGACTGCTGTGGCAGCGGCGGTGGCAGTGGCGGCAAGAGGAGTGGAAGTGGCTCCTTCTGCGGCGGCTGCTGTTGCAGCGGTAGTGGCGACGATGGCTGCCGTAGCGGCGGCTGCCGTAGTGGTGGCGACGGCTGCGGCGGCAGTAGCAAGGCGGCGACTGCTGTAGCAGCGGAGGTGGCGGTAGTAGGCACAATAGCGGCGGCGGCGATGACGGCGCGGCGGCAGCGGCAATGGCAGGCGAGCGACGGACTGACGGGGAGCACACTGCAAGGGGAGCGTAGTTGGCAGAGAGTTGGCGGTGAGACGAGTGGGGGGCTGGTGGCGAGCTGGCGGCGAGTGGCTAGCGGGGTGCTGGCGGCTGGCGGCAAGCTGGTGGCGAGCCGCGAGCGACGAGTGGCGAGCTGGTGACATGGCGAGTGGCGACCTGGCTAGCGGCGATCATAGCAGCTGACGAACGGCCAGTTGGCGGCAAGCTGCTGGCGGTGAGTAGTTGGCGGCTAGTTGGCGGCGAGACGCTGGCGGCTAGTTGGCGGCGAGACGCTGGCGGCTAGTTGGCGGCGAGCAGCTGGCGGCCAGCTGGTGGCGAGCTGCTGGCGGTGAGCCTGGCGAGATGGCGAGTGAGCTGGTGGCGGTAAGCTAGCAGCGAGGCAGCGGCGGTGGGGTAACGGCAATCTGGCGGCTGCAAGCTGGCCGCTGCGAGCTGGCGCCGGCGAGCTGCTAGCGAGCGGGCGGCGGCGAGCGGGAGGCGAGCAGCTAGCAAGCTGTAGGCAGCGAGCTGGCGGCGGCGAGCGGGCGGCGAGCTGGCTGCGGCAAGCATCTAGCGAGCTACGGGCGGCGATCTGGCAGCGACTAGCACGCTGCTGGCGACGGCAAGCTCGCGACGGCTGCTGGCGAGTGGCGAGCTGGCGAGCGGCGGCTGGCAGCTGCTGGTGGTTGCTGGCGGCTGGCGGCTGTGGGTCGCTGGTGGCTGGCGAGTCAGCGGCAAGCTGGCTGGCGGTTGCTGGCGTCTGCTGGCTAGCAAGCCAGCAGCGAGATGGCTGGCTGCTGCTCGCGGTTGCGGGCTGGCGAGCCAGCGGCAAGCTGGCTGGCGGCTGCTGGCGACTGCTGGCTGGCAAGCCAGTGGCGAGTTGGCTGCCGGCTGGCTGGCGAGCCTACGAGCTGGCTGGCATGCTGGCTGACAGGCTGGCTGGCGTGCTGGCTAGCGTACAAAATGGAACGGACGCTTGGGGGGGGGGAGGGGGGGAAGCTACGGAGCACGAAATTGGAGAGCGTGAGTTGGGGGGGAAATAGAAAGAAAGAAAAAAGCTACAGTAAAGGCGGAAGCGTGGCGCTAGAGAGAATCCAACCTAGCTCTAACATCATATCAAGATTGAGAGAATGAGGAGCAATAGAGAGAGGGATACAGGGTTTAAGTATGGGGCTGTCTCAACTAGGTGTAGACAACGACCTAGTGGACCTCCACGAGACTGCACCAGAACCAAGACAAAAATTCTAGCCCTGTGAGGACCTGAGCGTCTCCAAGTTGTTAACCCACGAAGCGTCAGTGTGTCCAGTCAGCACCACTAGCTCCCGTCCTCCTAGTACAAGCCCCAGTCCTGATGTACTCGCCAGATACCGCATCACCCTCTTAACTGCAGACCAGTGGACTAGTCGGTGCCTGCCTATCACCACAAAGCAAGCAAGGATACTTAGAGGGTACGCTAGATCGAGTCAAATGCATGTCCCTAGATCTCGTCGAGTGCACGTCATCAAGTACATAAGGCAGCATACCTGCTCTGCATATAGACCACTGGGCTCGGTGCCCATGGCCCGTGCGCCCGCAGGCTTGGCCATACTGGGGGCCGGTCAGCAGCTGGTATGTTCAACTCCCAACGCCTCTAGGACCACCAACACCCTGGCCCACAGAAGAGCCACGCGACCCCCAGGGCACCGACTGCCATGAGGCCCAATCTCTTCGGACTCCACGGCCTCCACCACTCCGAGGGCCCGCCTGCCCCCGTGGTAGCTGCGGCTGCTTCTGCAACCTTTGTTGTGGCGGCGGCTGTTGCTGCTTTTGCGCAGTCTCCGACTCCGTCGAACCAGCCTCTTCGTCTGCCCCTGCACCCCCTCCACTCGCCGCTGCCGACGCCCCATGACCCTTGCCTCCCTTGCCCTTGTCCCTCTGTCCAGAGGAGCGACTGGGCTTAGTGACCTTTGCAGCTGTCTCAGTGATCTTCGCGACAGAGGTACAGGCCCTAGAGATAGAGAGCTGGGGTGCAGGTTCGCCCTGAAAGATTGGGACTGCCACTGTGCTAGTGGTGTCAGCGATGGCAGGGAGGTGCGACTCAACCATCGTCAAGGCGGTGGAAAACTCAGTGACAGTTAGGGCAGTGGGGGGTTGTGCGAGGAGAGCGTCTCGTGCAGGGGTGCGACGGTCAGGGAGGTGGGTGGCAAGGGGTACAAGGTGACGTAGGTGGGGGGGAAGTGGGCGATATGCTGTTCCTCAAAGCAGGCTGCACGCCAGCAAGCCTCAAGGGAGTGCAGGTGCGCAACGAGGTCCACTTCAGTGGAGAAGGAGGCTAGGCCGTGGAAAAGGAATGACAGTAGGAGACGACCTAGGGTAGTGGAGGATTGGGTCGTCATGGCAGCGGCTGGCGGACAGAGGCGGAAGTGGCAGCAACGTCGAGCTGTAGGAGTCTGCTAGGAGAAAGAGGAGTGGGCTGCGAGGAGGGGCAGTGATGGCAGTAGTTGGCTGGAAGCTGCTAGCGGCAGGAGGCGGCAGCGTGCGGCAGACCGCAAGGTGCAGGCTGGCAGCTGGCGGCAAGCGGCAAGCGGCAAACTAGCGCTGGCAACTACCGCTACTGGCGCTGTCGGTAGTGGTTAGCGGCAGCGGCGAGCCGCGGGCTGGCGGTGGCAAGGCGGCGAGCTGGCGGCTGGCTGGCAGCGGCGAGCAGCGAGACATCGGCTGGCGGCCGGCGACGAGCTGCAAGCTGGCGCTGGCCGCTGGCGGTGACGAGCTGATGGCGGCGGGCTGGCGGCGGTGAGTTGGCAACGGCTAGTAGCGAGTTGGCGGCTGCTAGCTGGCGGTTGCAAGCTAGTGGCTACTGGCTGGCGGTAGCAAGCCGGTGTTGGCGAGTTAGGAGCCGCCGACAGCTGGCTGGCGGCTGGCGCTGGCGGCGCGCTGCTGGCGCTGGCGCTGATGGCTGGTGCTGGTGGCTGGCGGCAAGCGCTGTTAATGCTGGCGGCTGGCGGCTGGCGTTGGCAACGAGCTGTTGGCACTGGTAGATGGCGGCAAGCGCGGCGAGAACTGGTGGCTGGGAGCGTGCTGCTGGCGTGGGTGGCGGACGGCTAGCGCTGGCGGCTGGCGGCTAGCGCTGACGGATTGTGGCGGCTGGTGCTAGTGCGGGCTGGCATTGGCTGGCGCTGGCCGGTTGGCCCTGGTGCGGGCTGGATTTGGCTTGCGGCAGCTGGCGTCGGCTGGTACTGGCGAGCTGGCTCGGGCGCTAGCTGGCATGTGCTCACGTCAGCTGGCGCTAGCTAGCGGGCTGACGCTGAGGGGCCAACGAGGGTCTAGCAGGGACGGAGGGGGGGGGGGGGGGGGGGACGACGACTAACAACGAGGCGCAAGGCTAGGGCGAATCGCGCTAGGCTAGGGCGAGGGCGTATGCTAGGGCGGAAGCGTGAGGAGGATCCTAAACCTAGCTCTAGATGCCATGTTAGAATAGCGCGAGAAGATTGACGAGCAAGATTGACCAGCCCCCCGCCTTTCGCATGTTCGAGAGGCAGTGTCGCCCGCTGTACCCTTGCGACCTCGCCAGTTTTGGCGAGAACATTTCAGTCGTCGTGAGGCCCCTCGCGTTTCGCGTGGGGCCCACCCCATTTTTGTGACACTTGTGCCCCTCGCCATTTTCGTTCCCCCAACTCAAGATTCTAAGTCATTGAATCTTGAGTTTGGTCTGTTCGCTCGCTTATTTTTTTTTAGCGAAGATGACACTCCCTGAGGGCGTGTTTTGCCCTAAACCCGAAACCTGATCGTTCTACATCTAAAACAAATGTTAGGAAATGCAGAGCACCTCAATGAACCATACTAAAGTGAACGATTGTGACATGCCCCAATAAGAACGATGTGAAACAAACCGCATCAGCCATAGTCCTCGCCACCTTAGACTGACTGTAATCGGACTGGCGATTCCATAAAGCGTACAATTCTTCAGTGATGACTGTTGCACATGTCCTCGAATCAAATCCCTTCATCAGCCAATGTCCCTCAAGACATTTTCTGAAATTTCCGTTAGTGGCATCCCTCCGTCTGCTGAGTTCAGTCCTCGAGAAAAGCTCTACTACCTTCATAGCCCGAAATCACGGACCTCGTATCCCCGCTATGGACGGCACCGGTGGCGGCCATCGCGACGGCAAGCAACCGGCAACAAGTGAAGGCGAAAACGCCGGCAGGGCGGAGGACGGCGCGGAGGGCCGAGCGGAAGGCGGTGCTCCCGCTGGTGCTGGAGGTCCTCGTCCACAAAATAATACGCTAACGATTAGCGGCTTGATAGAGGTGCGCGTGACTTTGGAATCGGCGTCGAGCGCGACCAATCGATGGTCTCCCTATCAGATCCTGCCGTATGGCAGTTCATTCTGCCGTCTGGCATTTCATCCTGCCGTCTGGCAGTTCATCCAGCCGTCTGGCAATTCGTCCTACCGTCTACTGTCGCCTTTTAGTGTTTGTGCGGCTCGATCGACTCAGCGTTGCCGGCTCGGAACCGTTGGGTCTTGCTGGTGCGTCCGCCTCGCTCCGTGGAGCCGCCGTCTGCCGATGCCATGCTGCTGCCTCGCGTCTCTACTCCACCGGCTTATTCCAGCGTGCAGAACGAACCGTGGGACGGGGTTGGTGGTGTGTGCGTGCGTGCCCGTGTGCGTGCGTCTGTGGTCATGCCTCCGTGCGAACCCACTGCATCCAGCCCTCGCGTTCGCTCCCCCCTGCTATTCCCCTTCCACCTGTTGCTCTTTCTCCCCACCACCAGGGTGGCCCGCCAGCAGGCGCCAGCAGACAGCAGCGGCAGCAGCACCGACCTGGTGCACGCCCTGACATGCCGCCACACTGCTGGATCCCTTTTCACCTATGATTCCACTGATGTTTCCACGTCCACCTGTCTCTGTTTCTCCCCACCACCAGGGTGGCCTGCCAGCAGGCAGCAGCGGTGGCAGCGGCGGCACCGGTGACCCGGTGCACGCGCTCACATACCGCCACACGCCTGTGTCGTTCTCCACCTATCTTTCCACCTGCCCCCAGGGCGACCTGTTGGTCATGGCTGCAGCAGACAGCGCTGACGACGGTAGTGAAAGCGGTTGCAGCGGCGGTGAGATTGGTGTGTGGGTGGAGGCGCTGATGCACTGCCCCCACGTGCTCGCCCCCGACGCCTCGCTGCTCCCCCCGGACTCTGTTCCGCCCTTCGACTCGCTCTGCCATAGGTGGGGGGGCTGGGGGGACAGGGACATGGCTGGGAAGGAGGCTGGAGAATGTCTTGAATGGTGTGGGTCGGGAAGAGCGTAGGGAGGGGAAGGGGTAGGCAGGGGTGTGGGGGATGGGAGATGGGAGATGGGGGATGGGAGATGGGAGATGGGAGATGGGGGATTGGAGATGGTAGATGGGGGATGGGAGATGGGAGATGGGGGATGGGAGATGGGGGATGGGAGATGGGAGATGGGACATGGGAGATGGGGATGGGACATGGGAGATGGGGGATGGGAGATGGGAGAGATGGGAGATGGGAGATGGGAGATGGGGGATGGGAGATGGGAGAAGGGGGATGGGAGATGGGAGATGGGAGATGGGAGATGGGGATGGGGGATGGGAGATGGGAGATGGGAGATGGGAGATGGGGGATGGGGGATGGGGGATGAGAGATGCGAGATGGGAGATGGGAGAAGGGGGATGGGAGATGGGAGATGGGAGATGGGGGATGGGAGATGGGAGATGGGGGATGGGAGATGGGGATGGGAGATGGGAGATGGGGGATGGGAGATGGGAGATGGGGGATAGGAGATGGTAGATGGGGGATGGGAGATGGGAGATGGGGGATGAGAGATGGGACATGGGAGATTGGGGATGGGAGATGGGAGATGGGGGATGGGAGATGGGAGATGGGGGATGGGAGATGGGAGATGGGAGATGGGGGATGGGAGATGGGAGATGGGAGATGGGGGATGGGAGATGGGAGATGGGGGATGGGAGATGGGAGTTGGGGGATGGGGGATGGGAGATGGGAGATGGGAGATGGGAGATGGGGGATGGGGGATGGGGATGAGAGATGCGAGATGGGAGATGGGGGATGGGGGATGGGGGATGGGAGATGGGAGGTGGGCGATGGGGGATGGGAGATGGGAGATGGGGGATGGGGGATGGGGGATGGAGGATGGGGGACGGGAGATGGGGGATGGGGGATGGGAGATGGGGGATGGGAGATGGGGGATGGGAGATGGGGGATGGGAGATGGGGATGGGAGGGAGCACACATGCATCTTAGCAGATCTGCGTACAAGCAAAGCCCATCCTTCCCCCTCTTCCCCCTCTTCCTGCTACCCCTCTCCTTACTCCTCGCTTCATGCCGCAGCTGCAAGGACGGGTCGGAGAACTGGGTGTGTCTGTCGTGTGGCGTGGTGGCGTGTGGGCGGTACGTGGGGGGGCACATGCTGCAGCACATCACCGAGACAGGACACCCCGTGGCTGCTGGCTTCAGGTGCGCCTCTGAGGCTATGGTTTGTGTCACTGGATTCAGGTGGATGCATAGGGAGTCTAGGTGCCTCTGCATTCACAACATTCTGGATTCAGGTGTGCCTGTTAATCCATGTGATGTGGCTTGCCTTTTTGGGAGCTGGCATGGGATGGCATTGCATGGTTTAGCAAAGCACGCCGATTTAGTCGAGACCTTCCCCCCTCTACCAAGCCCTTCTCTGCTCACCCTCTCTTTCATTCAACCCATTGTCTCTCAACAACCACTGCTAACGTGGATTGCACTGCTCTACCACCACACCACAGAGACCTCTCGGTGTGGTGCTTCCGCTGCGATTCATACCTGGACGCCATTCGTATCCCTGCCCTAGAACCCCTCTTCGCCGCCCTGCACGTCGCCAAGTTCGGCCAGCCGCCTGCCAAGCCATCCTCATAACTGTCAACTGTCACACACACACACACACGAGTCAGACTCTCACACACAGTCCCAATCTCAGGGAGTGCCCACGCCTGCCTGATCGAGACTGGATAATATCTATCGGAACTACTTACAGAAATGCTCAAGTACGAATTTATCACAACACTCCCCTTCATTTTTGGAAGTCCGATAGTGTCACTTCTTGATAATTCAGCAGAGCTCGTGGCAATACTGGAACTTCTGACGTGTCAGCTTCTTGGTGAGAAAATCTGCAGCCATTTCATTGGTCGAGTAGTAGACCAATTGCAGTATCCCCTTTTCAAATTCATCCTTGACGAAGAAGTATCGTAGCGAAATGTGTTTTGTCCTGTTGGCAAAGCCCGGTTTGTGCGCAATTCTGATCGCACTTTGGTTGTCGCATTGCAGGGTGAACTGTGTACTTGTCGTCAATTTCGCTTTCTCTAGTAGCTGTTGTAGATACAGACCTTCGCGAGTAGCTGTGCAAGCAGCTATAAACTCGGCTTCAGCAGATGATAGAGCTATGTGCTCATGATAGTCCAGATAGGTTCGAGGAGATAGGTTTGTAGAATTCCAAGAGATACCGTAATCCCCCGGATATAATACCCGCCGGAATAGTCACTCCATGGGTGGTTAATACGGGGGGGAGCTTATGATATGGTGCATTTTTTAGAGTACCCGCTTTTCAGGTGACGAATTTTACATAACGCCCCCCTATTTTTATTACTTGGAGTACACTAAGACAATTGTATATTCAACCATATGGATTCTATCACTACAGCAGCGTTACAATACGCTTGAATTCCTACTCATTGTTGCCTACAAGAATAGCATCCAGTGAGTAGCGCAAGGCCTAGATCATGTCCTAGGGCTTTCAGTTAGAAATTAGAGACATCATTCACTACCAAATACTCCTCGTCATCCTCATCTCCAGCATGCCAAGCCTCTACATCATCATCGTCGGATGCAATATCGTCCCAATCGTACTCTTCAGTCCATCGGGAGGCGGCCAGTCCAGCAAGTACCTCCGCCGCTGGCGCCATCTCTGCGGAGTCCACATCGCTGCTCTCTGTAGTGTCAGCCGCTTCAGGTGCAGTTGCAGCTACTGCTGGTGTTGTCGATGTTGATGCTGCAGCTGCTGCAGCGTTAAGTCGAGCCTCCGCCATCGCAGACGATTCCGCCACATCGACGCCAGGTGTCGGTGCATGCTGCGGCAGGTCGACATTGACAGTGATATCACACTCCTCGTCCTCGGAGAGCTCGTCGGCGGTCGGCTCTACGAACTCGGCTTCGAAGAGGGGGTTCGTCTTCTCCCCGGTCGTCTCAACCTCCGCGTGCACATCGTCCATGACCTCCAGCTCCGCCTTGTTGCGCATGTGGGCGAGTATGAGGTCGTCTTCGAGGCCATCGAGGTCGTTGGAGATGCCGCAGGTCTTGAAAGCCTTGCGGATGAGGTCGGTAGGGACTGCCTCCCAGGCGGCCGCGATCCACTGCAGCACCACCTCCGCCGGAGGCTTTTTCAGATTTCCTGAAGGGCGGACAGGGTTGGGTGGAGATTACATCGCGCATTAGGCAAACCGAAGCGAGAACTTGAGCAACACGTCAAGGCGTCGTAAAGCAAACGGTAAACAAGAATGTATGAAGAGCAGAGCTCAAGGATATGAAGGGTATCACCTGCGGGAGTTGTCGCGTCGCAGCCGAACTCCTCAAACCAACCTGAGTAGGACCGGCGGACATGAGCCTTCAAGCAGCGGTTCACAGCTACGTCGAGAGGTTGGACGATTGGCGTGCAGCCGCCAGGTATGACGGCACGTGAGAGTTTGAATAGACGCATCAACGCCGCCACCCCCTCAGTCAGATGGCCTTTGTAGGAGTCGAGGACAACGAGAGCCTTCTGCCGCCCGCCACGGCGTGCAGGAAGTCGCTTCAGAAAGGGGACAAGGACCGTCGTAATCCAGTCCTTCACGTGGTCCTCATCCATCCATCCCTTCTCCTGTGCGCGGATGACGATTCATGCATGCAATAATGAACGAACCAAAAAGCTTAGTGTTAGTTTCTAACTCCCGTACATGAAACACTTACTGACATCAAGACCCAGTCGATACTAACCTGGCGGGACTCGAATCTTGGGGAGCGTCTTGCGCTTGAAGATGACATACGGCTTCAGCTTCTGGCCGCCAGCAGTGACCGCCAGCATCACGGTCAACTGCTCCTTTTCGTAGCCACCAGTCCGAACATGTACCGTCCTTGAACCGCGGACTTCTAATGTAGTCTCTTGGGGCATTTCGAGGAACAAGGGTGTCTAATCGGCGTTGATAATCAAGTCGTCGTCATATTTGTTGACTGTGCGCATCTGGCGTACGACACCGGGATGGCGCTTCCGCATGAACTTCCTACTCCACTTCTGCAGACAACTCACCGACACCGCCAAGCCGCGCGCACGGTGTGAGAGGAAGCGGTTGTACATCTCCTTCTCCATGTCGGGGAACTTCGCCTTGCGTCCAGCACCGATGAGACGACGCCTGCATCCCGCCGCCGCCGACAGCCGTGCCTTGTTCTTCTTCCACTCGCATATCTGACAGGGTTGTACCTCGGCCATCTTCGCCAGCTTGCGATTCGAAAGCTTCGGGTCGGAGTCGAGATGGGCCAACCAGTATAGCTTTTCCGCCGCTGTGCACGAGACTCTCTTGCGCCTGGTCCTGCGATGTCTGGGGGAGGGAGGTGCAGCATCCCGGTTAACTCGCGGCATGTGGGGACGACGAATGGGGTGAGGGAAAGATGGAACAATGACACGAGGAAGTGTCGGGGGTGGCTCTGGCTCTCCATCGGCAGCATCTTCCCAGTCTAGCTCATCATCGTCCTGCCAGTAGTTGTCCCACTCCTCGGGACGACTTGCAATCGGAGATGATGTATAGGGAGGTGCGGGAGGAGCAGGTGGGGCAGGAGGTGCAGGAGGCGCGGGAGGCGCAGGCGGTGCAGGCGGCGCAGGTGGTGCTGGAGGAATCGACGGAAACGGACGGAGAAGAAATTGACTACCGTGGGGTGGACGATGGGTTCGCAAAACTGAGATGCCGCTAACAGCACGGGCCGCCATGGTTGAATCTCTGCCTACAAAATCGCCTCGGCGGACTTATGCCCGAGGCTCTGTTAGAGAGGTTCGACATCGCGAGGGATTTTCTGTTGGGAAGACAGTACTGGAATGCTAAAATGACGCAGCGACAACAAACGGATGAACAAGAAACGTGGGCCGACCCCCTACCCGAGCCGCGCACGGTTCTTGAAAGCCAAAAAAGACCATCGCATGCTAGCATGCGATGGTTTGGTCGAGAAGCTTCCCAAGGGCATTTTGAGATGCCAGATTCCATCGCAGGTGTTGCGCTGGCAGCATCTACTGCACCTAGCCGTGCACTCGCAGCGCTGGCAGCCGATGGCAGCAATCCGCTGGTTGTTGGCAGCTGTGACCGTTACGGATTGGCCACAAATCCTATAGCCCATGCCGAGTTCGACACGTTGGCATGGCCATCCTCTCATCCAAAAAGCACAAAACTCCCTAACAGAAACCCAATGCATGTATAAGCCTAGAAACAATCAGATTCAAAATGAATTATACATAACACATGGGCGTTATATTTTTCCAGCCCACTGTTAACACCCACTCATTTTTTTAATGAATTATTATATCCACCATAGGGTGTTATATCCGGGGGATTACGGTAGTCCCGATAGGTTCGAGACGATAGATGAAGCCGGTGCGAGATCGGCGATTAAATGTATCTGTTGCATGATCAGCATCGACAAATACGATGAGGTATAGAGTTTTCGTAGTGGTGACTTGATAGGTAAGTCCGAATTTAGGTGTCAAAATGAAATACTGTAACGTGCGAAGAATATCTAGCCGATTCTCCCCCTCAGGTCGACGCAAACATTGCACGAGCTAGCTAGCGGCATAAGCGAGATCTGTACGACACGTTATGGCTGGGAATAGTAGAATGTTAAATTATATATTGATTTATATCATTGTTAGGCTTGGTAGGTTACTGAACCTTATTGTAGAGGGTGTTAAAACTAAGCTAGGACTAGGTAGGAGAAGGAGCCATGGATGGCGTAACGTTTTAGGCTAGGGGGGCGAGAGTTGGGGAGAGGAAAGAGAATGAACTAGAAAGAGAGAAGGATACAAGGAGAGGATTGTACCCTCTACATAATAGTTCGGTAACCTACCAAGCCTAACAATTATATAACACAATATATAATTTAACACACCCCCTAGGCTTGGTAGTCACATGCCCACACACACCCACTGTCACAGGATCGAATGTGTCGAGGAAAGGTTGCACTATCGATCAGTACAAGGCGCTTTTATACTTCCAGAGTACATCAAGTAACCAAGTTTATCTTATCCTAAGGGAATAGACCCTTCTAGAAGATAGAATCACCCTGCGTATAGCCACGCGAGGCTATTGGCTTTAAGAGATTACGGCAGGATTACGCTAGATAGCGTGTCTAGAACATTCCATGCCTGGTCGGTGATATAATAATAATAAAGGAAGAAACCAAAGGATAATGGAAAATGGGGAATATGAGGCAAAAGGCGATGAGATAAAAAGAGGAATGAAATGAAGATGAAATATGGAAAAGGCCAAGTGGTGTAACGGAGTCGTACTCTCACACCCACACCCCCTAACCTAGCACCCCCATTCCAACCACAGTGACAGCGACACTAGCTCGGTCGACCCCTCGGCACGTGAGGCGGCGACGTCGACCGCAGGGGCTGCGGCGGCGACGGCGGCAGCGGCGGCAGTGTCGGCAGCGGCGGCGGCGGCAGTGTGCGGCTGCGTGGCCTCGACGCAAGCGGCGACAGCGGCGGCGGCGGCGGCGGCGCCCGCACCTCTTAGTGACGTGGCCAGGCCCCGCGACGGTGGGACGGCCAGTGGGAGTCAGCCGTCGTCTGCAGAAAGGAAGAGGACACAGGGGAAGGAGGGGGGGGGGGCGCCACAGGCTGGCATGTGGGCGGCCGGTCTAGCGGCGCCACAGGCGTCGCGCGGCCGGCTGCAGCCCGACGACGCCGTCACAGAGCGGTGTCGACGCCGCGGCAGGACGTCGACGCTGCGACGGCAGCACAACGGCCCGACACCACAGCAGCGCGTCGAGACGGCAGCAGCACGATGCGGCCAGCGGCATCACGACGCCGCCATTGCAGCACAACGCGGCTGCCATGGCCGCGCGAGCGAACGAGGGCGAGGAGTACGTGGCGGAAGCGTGAGGAGGCGGTCCAGCAGAGAGGACCTCCTACTCTGATAGCTTGTTAAAACTAAGCTAGGACTAGGTAGGAGAAGGAGCCATGGATGGCGTGAGGTTTTAGGCTAGGGGGGCGAGAGTTGGGGAGAGGAAAGAGAATAAACTAGAAAGAGAGAAGGATACAAGGAGGGGATTGTACCATCTACAGAATAGTTCGGTAACCTACCAAGCCTAACAATTATATAACTGAATATATAATTTAACAGAGGGTACAATCCCCTCCTTGTATGCCTCTCTTTTTCTATTCCAACTCTGTTTTCTCTCCTCAACTTTTCTCCTTGGTAAACCTCACGCCACTCCATGGCTCCTCCTAGCTAAACCTCATGCCTTTCCTAGCTTCCTAGCTAAGCTAGCCTTCTAACATGGTATCAGAGCAGGAGGTCCTCCCTACTGGACCGCCTCCTCACGCTTCCGCCGCATACTCCTCACCCTCGTTCGCTCGTGCGGCCATGGCGGCTGCGTTTTGCTGCAGTGGCGGCGTCGTGCCGCGGCCGTCTCGACGCGCTGCCGTGGTGTCGGGCCGTCGTGCTGCCGTCGCAGCGTCGACGTCCTGCCGCGGCGTCGACGCCGCTCTGTGACGGCGTCGTCGGGCTGCAGCCGGCCGCGCGACGCCTGTGGCGCCGCTAGACCGGCCGCCCGCATGCCAGCCTGCGGCGCCCCCCCCTCACCCCCCTCCTTCCCCTGTGTCCTCTTCCTTTCCGCAGACGATGGCTGACTCCCGCCGGCCGTCCCACCGTCGCGGGGCCTGGCCACGTCACTGAGAGGTGCGGGCGCCGCCGCCGCCGCTGTTGTTGAAGCCGCCGCCGTCGCCGCTGTCGCCGCTTGCGTCGGGGCCACGCAGCCGCACGCCGCCGCCGTTGTCGACACTGCCGCCGTTGCCGCCGCAGCCCCTGCGGTCGATGTCGCCGCCTCACGCTCCGAGGGGTCGAATGAGCTAGTGTCGCTGTCACTGTGGCTGGAATGGGGGTGCTAGGTTAGGGGGTGTGGGGGTGTGTGTGGGCTTGTGACTACCAAGCCTAGGGGGTGTGTTAAATTATATATTGAGTTATATAATTGTTAGGCTTGGTAGGTTACCGAACTTTATTGTAGAGGGTACAATCCCCTCCTTGTATGCGTCTCTCTTTCTATTCCAGCTCTCTTTTCTCTCCTCAACTTTTCTCCTTCCTAAACCTCACGCCACTCCATGGCTCCTCCTAGCTAAACCTCATGCCTTTCCTAGCTTTCTAGCTAAGCTAGCCTTCTAACATAGAAGACAACCTAGCGTCTGTTTATAAAGCTGTAAGTGCTGTCAGGTGGAGTGGTATCGGGTTTGTCGTACGTAGGTAGAGATCAGTAATGTGTGTGACTGTTGAAGTTGTGAGGTTAAAACGTACGGTACTTGGAAGCGGTAAGATGAAACGTAGTTGCCGTGGAGTGAATGTCGAAGCCGAGAAAATGTGTGACATTAGGTGTGATGGTGATTTGTAGGTGTTGTTGAAGTGTGTGTTCAAAGGCAGAAACGAGGGCATTAATTGTGCTAATGTAGAGTGAATAGATTCCTTGGTCATGCGGGAGTTGGCGGAACCCGGCAGTAAGTAACTGAGCATGTAGATACTGCTGCCACAGGGTGGAGCTAGGTTAATGCTGTAGAGTGACTTTCATAGACGGCGGATGCTTGGAGGGCTAGTTTCGTAAGAATGCAGGTACTCAACCAAAATTAATACGTCGACGGGTGCATATTGAAATGCATTGGCGACATCGATTTGGCAAAGTGTCAAGTTCCGGCAGGCTGCGACGCAGAGTAGTGTCTGTCCACGGGAGCAAAAGTTACAGTGGCGGAAACAATTGTCCGTATGTTTTGCATAAATTTGGGTTTTTTTTGTTTAAGACCACTATACATTAAGCCTTAATGTTTAATGGTGGTACGATTTGGGAGGGGCACATAGTGGATGCGTTCATAGCACAAATATCCAGAATAGTGTGTGCACCCTTGCACCATTAAAAACACACTAGGGTCTGCGGGTCTAGTCACGGTGCACCAGTCATAGAAGCCAAGACTGTTATGGAAAATTATCAGGGGCCGGTTGCAATTCGTGGAGTCGCATGCTGAGTGGACAATTAGTGTTCGAAAGCAATGTGATCTAGTGAAACGGGACCAACATCAATTACTTCAGCTCCAATGGCTGCGCGTTTTCCTGGATTCGTGAAGGCACAACCTTGCAACACCACAAAATCAAACAGACGGTAAACCATGGGAACAAGGATCGGCGATGGTGTGGGGATGTGTGACATGTGCGGGGGTGGGGTTCATACGCAAGATTGACGGACGCATGGAGAGCAGGGTCTCAGATATCAGACGAAATCCGTCCGATGGTATGAAAATCAGACCTGTTTTTTTTTCTTTCATCTGATTTTTTGAGAGGGTGAATTATTTCGTCTAATTGTCCATCTCAGTCGTAAGATTTCGTCTGAAAGTTCTGACTTGGTGTATTTTTTCGTCTGAAATGTCAGATAGCGCGTACAATTTCGTCTGACAGCAATCGCCCATTATCCTTCTGCGCCAATGGGTCACCTGCCCACTGGCCCACACTCTGCCATCCTGGTCCTGGTCGGTGAGATTTTTTTGGCTAAGTCCTCGACTGCCAGATACATTCCCCCACACCCCTAGAATACCTAGTTTTTCCGGCTAAGTGCCCCACACAAGAGATATTCCTCCACACACCCTTCGCAACAACAATTTTTCGGTTAAGTCTCCCAATTCATTCATCAACACACCACACCAACCCAAAAAATTCGGCGAAGTCCTTAACTGCAAGATACATTCCCCCACACACCCCTTGCAGCCCGGTTTCCAGCTAAGTCTCTGCTACCCTGCTTCCACACTGTTTTTTTCTGCTTCGTCGCTTGACTGGACTGGGGGCGGGGTTGAAGGAACCCTGAAATTGCTGGGCAAAGAGAGGGGGCTGCCTGCACGTGGCGCGTCGCGCCACCTGCGAGTGTTCCTGCCAGAATCCGAAGGCGTGTGTCTTTCTGTTCCGGAACTCAGCAAGTTCCGGAACCGGGTCTGGTTACACATTTCGCAGCTCATTTCAACAGGGCTTCGCGAGCTCCTCCCGAGGCAAAATTTTGCCAATTCCGGAACTAGTTCCGGAACTTTCAGAAGCGGAACCGTAAGACACACGCCTTTAGAGGGTTTTTCCTACGGCCTCTATACAGGCCTGCCTGTTCCCAGACTCGCACGCTTCAGTGCCGTGCAATTACTCTTGGGCTCTTCTGCGTGGTTCAGATTGACGAGAATCAGGGCGTGTTCTAAACTTCTTCGCAGGCGCACCTTTTCCAGAGATGCGCGAGTCTCTACAGTTCGATTATGACCCGAGCAGAATTAAAGCGGTTGAGAATGTGATACTGAAACGAAGTGAGCTTGACAAGAAAACCTTTGAGCACGCTCTCAGCCGAGGACCGAGTCTGGGAATTGGGTACCCTGGGAAGAGGTTCGTAAGAAAACGCTCTTAGCAGGAAACGAAAAAATCGAGGTCGAAATTACGAGGGACGAATATTCTTGCGCTAAAATTTCGTCTGAATTTTAAGACCAGTGTAAAAGTTTCGTCTGAAATCTCAGACTCCTTGAAAATTTTCGTCTGATGGTCGGACCAAACTTTGAAACCCCGTCTGATTCTCAGACGACCCTAAATCCTAGCTAAAACCCTGATGGAGAGGCCCTTGTATGAGGGCATTTTGCATGACCAACTCGAATTGAACCCCCATTTCTTTAGCATTTTCCCCTCTGAGGTCATCTCGGTGCGAACAATGACCCCAAGATTTTGTTATGCCTAGTGTTAGGATTAAGGACGGAGTCTAGGTGAACTTAGGAGCTAGAATTACTCAAAATATAAATCCGAAATTCTGGACAGAAAAGTCGTCTTCACAAGAAACGACGTCGACAAACAACTAGCCGTTGGAATGTCGCGAAACTTGGATATGTTGTAGCTCTTAATCTCAGCTACCGTTCCCAATTTGAATCATGTTGATTGATAAAGTATTCGCGACGCTATGGCTTTCGACGCACTAGGGGGTAAGCTGTAGGAGGAGAACTTAACTCAATCTCAAAGGTTCAATCAAAGTTCAAGAATCTCACAAGGAATTAGAAGGAGCAAGAGAAAGGTTGGGATAGGAAGAGAGGGATGAGAGGGAAGGTCCCAAGAGAGTCCCCAACCAAGGAAACCCCATAAGCACAAAGATTCCCTCCCTATAGGAACCTCAACTTTGACCTTTGTCCCTTCCCAACCAATCCATCCAAGTTGGCCACCCTTGCCAACCTAGCTTGGTTGTTCCCAACCAATTTGCACCTGTTACAGTAGAGTGACAAATTTCCCCAACCCCAAAGGTCCCAACTCCATATAGAGTCACCCCACAACTTCACTTTGTAACCGCCGCAATTGTAACGCAAGCTCATGAACTTTGAATCTTCATAGCTTTCGCGTTCTTGCTCCGATTGAAGCGATTCTTGTTGCGTCGGAAATATATTCTCAAGATCTATCATCAAAATACCTGCTCAAACAAAAATAACACAGAACACATTCCCAAACTCCAGAACACACCACACACAAATTCTTTCACATTCAAACCACACATGCAAGTTGAAAACATGGGATGGGAGGCAGACAGAATGTGATAGCATATGATGACATCACACAACAATCTCCCCCTCTGGCTGCCAACCATCATCGACCATACCACATCTCAAGCATGCATACTCAATGCACACTCATCCCAGCAAGCTTCATGCCCTTCCAATGATCCGCCTCCGCCAGACGCTTAGTGAAAATATCTGCTGCCTGCTGATGGGTCTTCACTATCTCCAGCCGCACCTCCTTATCAAGGATTCTCCTCACCCAATGCCACTTAGGCCTTATGTGTTTTGTCAGCCCATGCAGACAAGCATTCTTGGCCAGCTTCACTGCAGACTCATTGTCACAGAACACAACTGTCGGCTCCTCCTGACCAACTCCCAACTCCTCCAACAAACGCCTCAGCCATACCACTTCCTTGGCCCCATGGTGTAAGGCCATGTACTCAGTCTCACATGAAGACAATCCCACCTCATTTTGCTTCTTGCTGCGCCAGCTCACAGCACCACCTCCTAGCAAGCACACATAACCCCCAATGCTGGTGCCATCCGCTTTCACTGAGTTGAAGCTAGCGTCAGTATAGCAACTCAAGAGCATCTCTCCACTCTTCACATCTGCAGCACCTCTCTGCAACCGCTGCCTCACTCCACTGTACTCCAATCCCACTGATGCCGTAGCACTCACATAGCGGACCAACCTCTTGGCCGCTTCCAGCTGCTCATGACTAGGGCGTGAGACCACACTAGCCAACCGTGATGTAGCAAATGCAATGTCAGGCCGTGTATGATTTGCAGCATAATTCAGCGACCCAACCATCGAATGAAACAGCTTCCTGTCACTATCACCCACTACCTCCTCATCAGCACATGGCTCCACAGTAAACCCTGAAGGTAGTGGTGTTGCTGGCTTTCCCCCATCTTGCAGCCCATACTTCTCAGCCAGCCCCTCACAGTACTTCCTCTGGTGCAACCTCAGCACACCCTTTTCCACATCTCTCTCCACGTGCATCCCCAAGTAGTACTTCACCTCACCCATCTTGGAGCACTTGAACTGCATCTCCAGCATCTGCTCTGCGCTGTCCAGCAAAGCAGTTGATGCAGAAAAGAGAAGGATATCATCCACATACACCAAGAGCATGAGGATTTCATCCTTCTCCTGCAGCAGGAACAGGCTGGGGTCACACTCACTCTTCTTGAAACCCCCAGCCAACAGCGCCTCCTCCAACTTGTGATACCATGCACGAGGCGCCTGCTTAAGGCCATAGATGGCCTTCTTCAGCCTGCAGACCCTGCCGCTCCCGTCATCCAGCCCCTCTGGCTGCTTCATGTACACCTCCTCCATAATGATCCCATTCAGAAAAACAGTCACAATGTCCATCTGCCGTATCTTCCATCCCAGGAGTGCAGCTATCGCTAACAGCACCCTCAGTGTTGTTCCTTTCCCCACAGGAGCAAACACCTCATCATAGTCCTTCCCCTTTGTCTGCTGAAACCCCCGTGCCACAAGCCTAGACTTGTAGCGGGTCAGCTCCCCTTCAGGTCCATACTTGTGCCTGTAGATCATCTTGGAAGTGATTGCCTTCTTTCCAGGAGGCAAGTCACACAGGTCCCATGTCTCGTTCTCAATTAGGGACCCGAACTCCTCATCCTCACTCGCCTTCCACTTCTCCCCATTTGGTCCATTCAAAGCCTCCTCTCGAGTCTTGGGCTCAGGGATTGGTGCCCAGTAGCAGTGAGCGATCTCATCTTCCTCAATCTGCTCAACCACACTCCCAGCCTGCACCACATTTGGCTTGCCTCTTCCCCCATAGGTCAGCCTCACTGGAGGGCGCACATCCCTCCTAGGACGCTCAGGCGGGTGTGGAACTCGAGGTGGAGACTCATGCTGCTGCTGCTGCTGCTCTACTTCAGCTGCTCCCCCTTCCTCAGTCACCCCAGACATCTCCTCCTCTGACACTGCAACCTCCACCTGTCTTGAAGGGTGCTGCACCTCATCTGCCTCCACAATGAGCGGTGTAGATGGAAGCTTCTGTTGCTGCTGCTTCCATTCCTTGTAGTACAGGGACTCAAGAAACTTCACATCCCTTGACAGTGTCAACTTCTGGGTGGTCAAGTCCCATAGCAGCCACCCCTTGTGATCCTTTGCAATCCCCAAGTGCACACCCCATCTTCCAGAAGCCTCCAACTTCCCCCTTTTCTCCTTAGGCACATGAAACACCACCATGCACCCAAATGCCCTCAGCATGTTCACAGCTGGAGCACTCCCATACCACTTGACATATGGGATCCACTCCTTATCTCCAACTGTAGCCAGCACCCTGTTCTTCACAAGGGCGACCTGCCTCAGTGCAGACACCCAAAACGGATCAGGCAGCCCTGCACGCCCAAGGAGAGTGCGTGCCCCCTCCTGCAGGGTCCTGTTGAACCTCTCAGCCACGCCATTCTGCTGCGGGTTGTAGGGCACTGTCAGTTGATGCTGGATCCCCTTCCTCTTCAACTCCCCCTCAAAATCAGCTCCAATGAACTCCCCACCATTGTCACTGCGGATCACCTTCACCTTGTATCCGCATTCCCTCTGAGCTCTAGGCATCCACTCCTTAAGGACAGCCGCTGCCACCTCCCCCTTGCTCTTCAAAGGGTAAACCCACACTGCCCGAGTGTGGTCATCCACAATTGTCAAGAAATAGCGGCTGCCTGAGAGGGAAGGCGCTCTTGTGGGCCCCACCACATCCATGTGCACAAGTGCAAGTGGGGTCTTGGCTGGTCCTGTAGTGCTGTTGAAGGGGAACTTGGAGAACTTGGTCTCCAAGCATGTAGGGCAGCTCCCAATCTCCTTCACTTCCCCTTTCACCTCCAAGCCCTTCAGGCTCCCATTCTTCACCAACTTCTGCAGCATAGGGAAGTTCACATGACACAGCCTCTCATGCCATGTCTCCCAATCGGCCTCTCCACTCCTTGATGAAGCCTTAGCCCATGCCGCACTCGCATCCACACCAGCAAGCACCTCGCCATGTGTCTGCTGCTGCTGCACTTTCTTGACTGCTTCCAGGACCCCATCAGTTGGTGCAGTTGCATCTCTTCCTGCTGTTGCCTTTGCCGCTGCTGCCGTTGCTGCTGTTGGAGTCTTCCCATTCCATGGGATGATGGGCAGCTGCCACAGGTCCTTGATGCAGCTGGTCTCCTCTTCCAGACTCCACAGCACCTTCTTCCCAAGCTTAGCACGGCAGCTGGTTGGTCCAAAGGTCACTTCGGCCTTGCTCTTCTGCAGTCGTCGCACAGAGAGAAGGTTAGCAGACAAGCCTTCAACCAGCAGAACATTCCCAAGCCCCACAAGCTCCCCATTAGCTCCCTTAACCTTGGCATTCCCAACACCAATCACGGGGAGCAAAGCACCTGACGCTGCTGCCACATACTTAATCTTCCCAGGGGGTTTTACCTCATCAAGCAAATCTGCCCGTGGAGTCATGTGACTGGTGCAACCCGAATCAATCACCCAGTGCGTGAGAGGGTGCATCACAACCTTTCCCACAGATCCCACATCACCCTCATGCCCATGCACATCCTCAACCATAACAAACAAACCAGGATAGGCATTACCTTGTGCACCTTCACCTTGTGCACCTGAGCCTTGCACAGCGCCACCTTGTGCGCGTTCACCACTGGGCGGCTTCATGCCTGGAGGTGCCCATCCCTCCAGCCTGCTGAAGCACTTGAACCAAGGATGCCCAACCTTCTTGCAGTACCAGCACGTGCCCTCCATTCTGGTACTCCCCCTGCCACTAGAGCTCCCATGCCCCTCATTATAGTCACCTCGGCCTCTACCTCTGCCAAAGCTCCTCCCACGGCCTCGGCCTTTCCAACCCCCTCTTCCTCTGCTGCGCCCTGCAGCTCCATACCCCTCAGCAGTCTTAGTGGCAGCACCGCCTCCCACATGGCGTCTGCGGAAGTCCTCCTGCAGAATCTGCTGCCTTAGCCACTCAGGTGTCCATTGATCTTGCTGAGAGTTGAGGGTGGGGATGAGGTTGTCCCAAGAGTTGTCCAACACCGAGATGATCTTGGTGCACTGCTGCAGCTGAGATACACTGCTGCCCGCTGCTGCCATCCTTGCATAGGTGTCCTTGATCTTGTCAAGGACCGGCTTCACATCGTCCCCTGGTCGCATGGAGATGGCAGCAAGTTCCTTCTCGAGCACGATCACCATCGGGAGAGTGTTGGGCTGAACCACATCACGTAGTAGTTTCCACGCCCTTGGACCCGAATCATCCGCTTCCACAAGATCCTTGATGTGCTCGAACATCTCCTTGTTGACCGATTGAAGAATGAGGTCGAAAAGCACCGCGCTTTTCTCAATCCACCGTTCACGTGCTTCGCCTTCTTCCGGCATCTTCTCTTCCCCAACAGCAATCTTCAGGAGCTTGTAGCGTTTGAAGGCACTCCTCATCCGTCCGCTCCATTCCTCATAGTTGGAGCCATCCAAAGCTTCAACTTTTGATGGCGGCGGCTCACTTGTCTTCTCAGCTACAGCTCCTCTTCCATTAGCATCTCCTCCTCTCTCATTCATCTTCTCCTTGAGAAATGACGAATTTCAGCTCCCCTTTGCTGTCCACACTCAGCTCCCTCGATATTTTCACAAGTGTCGGCGTCCACGAAATTTCGGCAGAGTTTCCCCTTAGCGGAAGACACATCCAACCTTTAGAACACCACTTAGGCACACCCACAGGCCATGGTGGGTCTAGAAGGGTCTTCACACTTCTGTAGACTCCTCTCAATGTCCTTAATATCGCTCTGATACCACTTGTTAGGATTAAGGACGGAGTCTAGGTGAACTTAGGAGCTAGAATTACTCAAAATATAAATCCGAAATTCTGGACAGAAAAGTCGTCTTCACAAGAAACGACGTCGACAAACAACTAGCCGTTGGAATGTCGCGAAACTTGGATATGTTGTAGCTCTTAATCTCAGCTACCGTTCCCAATTTGAATCATGTTGATTGATAAAGTATTCGCGACGCTATGGCTTTCGACGCACTAGGGGGTAAGCTGTAGGAGGAGAACTTAACTCAATCTCAAAGGTTCAATCAAAGTTCAAGAATCTCACAAGGAATTAGAAGGAGCAAGAGAAAGGTTGGGATAGGAAGAGAGGGATGAGAGGGAAGGTCCCAAGAGAGTCCCCAACCAAGGAAACCCCATAAGCACAAAGATTCCCTCCCTATAGGAACCTCAACTTTGACCTTTGTCCCTTCCCAACCAATCCATCCAAGTTGGCCACCCTTGCCAACCTAGCTTGGTTGTTCCCAACCAATTTGCACCTGTTACAGTAGAGTGACAAATTTCCCCAACCCCAAAGGTCCCAACTCCATATAGAGTCACCCCACAACTTCACTTTGTAACCGCCGCAATTGTAACGCAAGCTCATGAACTTTGAATCTTCATAGCTTTCGCGTTCTTGCTCCGATTGAAGCGATTCTTGTTGCGTCGGAAATATATTCTCAAGATCTATCATCAAAATACCTGCTCAAACAAAAATAACACAGAACACATTCCCAAACTCCAGAACACACCACACACAAATTCTTTCACATTCAAACCACACATGCAAGTTGAAAACATGGGATGGGAGGCAGACAGAATGTGATAGCATATGATGACATCACACAACACCTAGTGCATGAATGGTTCAGAGAGCATGAGTATGTAGACCTGGAGTGGCCTTCTTTCTCACCAAACCTCAACCTCTGGGCTTACCTGAAAAGGAAGCTGGCAAAGCAGAAAAGGCCTTCCTCTGGAATGCTAGAGATTTAAGAGTTGATCCAAGAAGAATGGGAGAAGATCCATGCCGAGGTTTGCTCTAGCCTCATCGACAGCTCGCCTAGGAGGGTGCGGGCGGTGATCAAGGCCAAAGGTCGGTGGGCTAGGAACTAGAAACACACTTTTGAAGTTTGCTATCCCTGCTTGGAACTATTTGTCCGGATGTACCCTTTGTATATCTTTTGGGATATGAGTTAGATCTAATGTACTATTCTTGATATTTGTGATATGAACACATCCACTATGTGCCCCTCCAAAATCGTACCACCATTAAACATTAAGGCTTAATGTATAGTGGTCTTAACGCAAACCCAAATTGATGCAAAACATACGGACAATCGTTTCCGCCACTGTACATTAGCTCGTCGTTGAGTCCAAATTTTTGCTCGAATCCGCGGACAACCCATCGCACCTTGAATTTTTCGAAGGAACCATCAGCGTTCGTCTTCACACGAAAAACCCATTTGCCGGTAAGTACTTGACTCCCCTTGACTTCTTTTAGTGGGATCAAATCCCCGGTACCTCGCTTTTCCAGAGTTGCTAACTCCCGGTCCATGGCTTCTCGCCATTTTTCCTGCGTGGACTGGTCAAAGCTTGGCGAACTATTTTCGGCTCCAAAATCTTACTTTTGTTTGACTGTACAGCAACTGCGAGTCCCAAAACTTGTAACCCAGTCATGTAAAACGAGGACGATGAGAGTTGACGCCAGAGAAATTGCCTTCTGACCCTTGTTCCCCCCCAATTTTTCCAGGTGTCACAAGGACTGCTGGTTCGGAGACAATGGGCATGGGTTGCTGCTGGCGATTACGCTCGTAATCAAGAAGAACGTCGCTAACATTTGCAGAGTCGGCTTTGCTGAGTGGTATAAAAACAGCAGTTCCGGTGGACGTGGCTGGCACGGGGATGTCTGTGGCTGCTTCAGAAGCCTCGACAACTACTTCATCCCGTACATCTGTTTCAGCTTCGTCGTTAGCGAAAGCACGCGAGCCTTCGAACAGCCGAGCAGGGTTGGCAGCTGCTGCCTGGTGAGCACGAAAAACAAGTAAGGTGAGTCGTTCATAGAAAGGACAATCACATGCTGGTATGATTTGCCTTGTGCAAAGATCCATGATTTTCCATGCATAAAACTGCTTCAATATGCCAAGATGAATACCCCACTTAGCCCGTTCTGAAAATGTTCCGAGTGCTGCAGTTGGAGGCCGCTATTGGAGGATGCAGCCTAAAACTCGTAAAAGTTTTGTGTTGCCAACTGTCTTTGTCCACTATACATGCGGCAAAGAAAATGGTGGAAGAGATGTTGTGGATAGCAAGTTGAGTAGAAGAATTGCATTGTCCAAGGCGTATGTAAAAAAATGTGGTGGAAGGACAGCTTGAGTTAATAAAACGCGCATCTTCTCCTGTAAGGTCGTGTTCATCCGCTCTGCTACCCCCATTTGTTGGTGTTGATGTGGCAGAGACCCTCTGCGTTTGATGCCTAGGATTTGAAGATACTCTGTAAAAGTGTTATTGGTATACTCTCATGCGCCATCAATTTGAAATTCTTGAAGCTTTTCCTTCGATTCTCCCTCAGCTACCGCAAGCCATGCGACAAAAATGGAATGAGCCATATGGCAAGCTGGGATATTGACAGTCCAAACGTAGCGAATAGAACCTTCGATAGAGTTTCCCCTTAGGCCCAGCTTTAGGTAAGTTCAGGATGTCGCTGTAGACTTTCTGCATTAGCGTGTAACGAATCGATCCTGGAAAGTGACTCGAAAAAGGTTCATGTGGAAGATTCGCAGTGGTACATGTGGTGCAGATGGTTGGTCGGGATGACGGCTTCATCTCTCTTCCATCAGGTAAGAGTAAACTGTTCTTGTCAAGAACGGATGCTTGTATAGAATGTGATGCCATATGTCTGCTGTTGCTTTGTGTCCTATTGATCGCAGTTAAAGATCAGAGTTAGTGTAAAAAGAAGAAATGATGAAAGGAGAAAGCGCTGGAGATTGTTCGAGTTGGCCAGGAACGAAGCGAGTAAGAGGTAACTTAGTAGTTTTTACCTCCACGTCGAGAATTTTGTCTGGTTCCAAAACTAATTCCTATTCGGTTTCTATTTCTTTTGTATTTGCTGTAGGTTGACCGATGCGAACCCCTGTTTCTCCTTCGCTGCTACTCTGCTGCTCCGCTGCTTCTGCTTCACTGCTACTACTGCTTGGTCCCCAAGGTACTTTATGTTTGTTGGTTTGTTGTGCTAGAGTAGCATAATGGTTCCGACATGCTAATGTATCTTCTTCGGCTGTGTTTGTTGGCCAGGTATCAAGAGCTGTGATAACTGCAGCGGCTGTACAAGAGGCTGTTGGAACTGCAATTGCACGGAAGTCCACGTCAACCCTTTGATAATCAATTTCTTCAGGATGTTGCCAAGGTCCAAGAGAAATGACTCTTTCGGAATCACCCGAATTTCGTTGAGCTTCAAATTGAAGAAGGGAGACACCATATTGTGTGGCAGCTCTCCCGATGCAAGTATTGTCTCATTGTGATTAAGTTCCTGGTCCATGGTTTCACAATTTCCTTGTGTCCTGATGCGATGTCGCAGGGGTTGAGCTATCGAAAGAAGATCGAAACCAAGTCCAGCGATGATGAGAACGTTCGTAACATGTAAGGAAAACCCAGTGTCAATATATTCTAGCATGACGCTGCCGATCGATCGTGCCATAATGGTTTGTCCGTTTGCCACTGTGACAGATATTGGGTGTCGAAGTAGACGCTGATGAGTAATGAAAAGCATCTTGGTAGAGCACATGTGTTGACCACTATAACTGTCGAGATACCAAGTGCTAGGTCCTGCATTAAACGTGAGGTAAGACCATATTCTCACGTTGTTCAATCGAGCTGGTTTCTTCATCATCGTTGAAATATGAATCAGTTGCATGAACTGTAGTAACACAGTTGAAAACTTGTTTTCTAGATGTGTCAGAAGTTGGTGTTGGTGGATTCTGCTTCACGGTTTGCTTGGACTGGTGCGACGGCTGCTGCACTCCTCTTTCCATATCAGCTTGAAGCTTGTTGGAATATTTGATGCTACGTCCATCCTTTTTGCAGTAGTGGCAGAAAAAATTGCTGATACGTTTTGCAGGCGTTGAATAGAAACTGACATGAACTGCCCCCTTTTGTTACGTGCAGCTTGTAGATCAAGGTCTTGCTGCTCTACTTGAAGAATTGAACAAATTTCGACTTCATAAAGATTTGGTTGACTACAAAGAAGAGATCGACACTGCCACCATTCTAGTCCAAGGCCGGCAAGAAGAATTGTTACAAACATGTCCTTTGGAGATTATCCGTCGCATTTTTCCAGTTGGTCGCGAAGTGTGCAAGCCCTATTGATATAGTCGGAAACGTTTTTGTTGCCCTGCATCTGCATAGTTATCAGTTGTTCGAGAATCTTACCCATGGAAATGGTATCCTGTGCTATGTACAGCCCCTTCAAATGCTTCCATGCAAACTCAGCAGGAGTCAAGTTGGTGTGAAGGGAGCGTATCCCAAGCTGCTCTTTCAGTGACTGGGTTCGCATAAGAACTATATAAGCGCTGAGTGAAGCATGAAGAAACCTTTGCTACTCCATCTGTGTTCCCCTGACAGGAGACGAATAATCGCCGCTGAAGAAAGGCCATAATCTAGCAGATTTCACGAGGAGCTCAAATTCAAAACTCTAGGAGTAGAAGTCAGCCCCATTAAAAGGTATTGTCATCTTGGAGTCTGAAAAATAGGTCCAGTAAAGATTTCGAGTTTGAAAAACAAGTCCAGTAAAGCCAATCTGTTACTGCAGAAACTGCTGTTGGTGTGGTTGATATTGAGGTTGCTGTTGAAACTATTGTGGCTGTTGCTGTTGCTGCTGAAATTGTTGTTGAGCTTGTTGTTGCTGTTGCAAAAATTGATACTTTTGTTGCTGTGCAGGTGTAAAACCAAACGAAGAACTGGAGCTTGGAGCAGCCGCAGCTCTTACATAACTATATCCATCAGAACTCATGCCACTAAAAGCCGCTGTTATTGATGCTGCTGCTTGTTGCTGTGATGCTTGTTGTGGTGTTGTAGGTGCAGAGGACGAAGTCTCTGGTAGATGCACAGTAGGCAACCCTTGCTGCTGTTGAGGCATCCCAATATGCAGGTGGAAAATTTCCAGCTGCAAAATCACCTGCTTGGTCTGTAAGAATTGTAGGATTTGTAATACCCGTGGGTCCAGTTGTTGAGGAACCAGCTGTTGGAGCTAATGATGGTCCAGTCATTTGTAGAGTTGACAATAGTCTTAATTCTAGATAGCTCTCATACCGTGTAAGAATTCGTAAAATAGTGTAGAAGACTAAGTAAGAAATCTGCAGACACAAGTACTTGAAGTAGAAAATAATACTTTAAGTACCTCCAGTAACAACCAGTATTAACTAGTTGTAATACCAGAATCAATGTTGCAGCCTTGTGATACTTCAAGTCTTGAGCAAGGATCTTTTCTGGAATGGTAGACTAGTAAGACAGCGGAAGTCTTAGAAATTGTGAGTAGTGTCCTGAATTTACTGAAGATCAAGTTAATAATAGAAGAGAAATAAGGTACTTCTATACTTGCTATACTTGCTAGAATTATCTGTTCGGTAATGTATCTGTTCAAGGATATTTGTGTTATGTTCTCTAATCGCTACTGAAAGGGGGGCGACTGTTGTGTGACTAAAACGGCCTGCTGTTGTTATCATCCAGATGAGCGATTATTGCTGACGTCATTTTACGGATGCTAGCTAC